CACACAAAAACCTGCAAATGGATGTTTACAGTAGCTTTATTCACAATTGCCAAAACTTGGAAGCAACCAACATATCCTTCAAAAGGTAAATAAGCTTCAAAATGGGTAAATAAGCTATAGTACATTCAGATAATGGAATGTTAATCAGCACTAAAAAGACATGAAAATATATGAAGGAACCATAGATGCATATTACTAAGTGAAAGAAGCCAATCTTAAAAGGCTGCATACTGTATGATTCCAACTATATGACATTATATAAAGAGCAAAACTATAAAGACAGTAAGAGGATCAGTGATGGCAAAGGGTGAGGGGAGGGGCTGTGGAGAGATGAATAGGCAGAGCACATTGGTAAAAATCAGAGCAGTAAAAACACTCTGTATGATACCATAATGATGGATACATGCCATTATACATTTGTCCAAACTCACACAGACTATCCAGGTCCCAGAGTGAACCATAATGTAAACTATAAACTTTAGGAGATTATGATGTGTCTATGTAGGTTCACCAATTATAACGAATGTACCATTCTGGTGGGGATGGTGATAATGGTAGAGGCTATGCATGAATTGAGGCAGAAGGCATGTGGGAAATCTCTGAACCTACCCCCTCAATTTTGCAGTGAATCTAAAACTGCTCTAAAGAAATGAAGTCTTAAAAACAAAAACAAAACATCATTTATTATAATGGCAAAAAAGTGAAAGGTAACTAGAAATAAATCTAACAAAATATTAATAAAGCTTGTATTGGAAAAAATGTATCCAATTATTATTTGCCATTCAAGAAGATATAAATAAGAAGTCAAAACATGCTCATAGCTAGGAAGACTTCAATTTATAAAGAGGTTGATTCTTCCCAAAATAAACTAGAAATGTGAGATAGTAAGATTTTTGCTAGAACTTATTTGGAAATGATAAGAAAAAAATTAGCCAAATCAACATTTAATAAGAAAAACAAAGTGGGAGGCTATGTTATCAGGTATCAATACTTAAGAAGCAAAGTACACCAGCACTGAAGAATCCGAAAATGCCCATGCATGACACAGCTGGACTACAAATAATCCATCCACTGAAGTAAGAATTTGTATTTTAAACAGTACCTTTATAAAAATAATTGATCAAAATTGATATATTTATATTTTTGTTTAATTGTGTACCAATAAGTATAATTATTACTCAATTCAGAAGAAAATTTTAATGTCACAGCTTATGAAGATATTGAATTAAAACATACATTTTAATTATCTAAAATTTTTGCAATAAAATGATCAGATGATCACTGACAGATATTTAAGCATACTGTATTCTTTTATTTTTTAATTTTTTAAATGTTTATTTACTTTTGAGAGAAAGAGACAGAGGCGTGAATGGGGGAGGAGCAGAGAGAGGACACAGAATCCAAAGCAGGCTCCGGGCTCTGAGCTATCAGCACAGAGTCTGGTGGGGGGCTCAAACTCATGGACTGTGAGATGGTGACCTAAGCTGAAGTAGGATGCCCAACCCACTGAGCCACCCAGGCGCCCCTAGGCATACTGTATTCTTGAAATTATAATATATCAAGGTAATATTCTAGGGTAATATAGAATAAAAAAAGAGCAGAGAAAAAGGAAAGATGATAAATTTCTTTTTTTTTTTTTAATTTTTTAATGTTTATTTTTGAGAGAGAAAGAGACAGAGTGTGAGCTGGGGAGGGGCAGAGAGAGAGGGAGACACAGAATCCAAAGCAGGCTCCAGGCTCCGAGCTGTCAGCACACAGCCCAACGTGGGGCTCGAACTCACAAACCGCAAGATCATGACCTGAGCTGATGTCAGACACTTAACCAACTGAGCCCCCAGGCACCTCTATAAATTTCTGACAATAAGAATAAGAAAATATTTTTAAGAAAAAAATTTTTTAATTTTCAAAATTTTATTTTGAGACAGAGAGAGAGAGAAAGAGAGGCGGAGAGAGAGGGAGAGAATCCCAAGCAGGTTCTGTGCTGTCAGCACAGAGCCCTACATGGGGCTCAATCCCACAAACCATGAGATCATGACCTGAGCTGAAATCAAGAGTCAGATGCTTAACCAATGAGTCACCCAGGTGCCCCTCAAAAGAAATATTTCATAAAATTGACTATATGCTCGATATATATCCAAAAGATTAATACCATAGAGAATTTATTTCTAATTTCTGCTGTATATATGACCAAAGAATTAATAACACAGACAAAGTGTTTCTAAAGTCAGTGAAGTACACTAGAAATCAGCAACTGAAAGGGAACTATAGAATTAGAAACTGTCTAATATAGTTCAAAATAAGCAACCACAATGGGAATATTATACACTGAAAGATAATTAAAATATGATCTATAGAAACTGGAGGGTGTGAAGATTTTGTAAAAATTGTATAGTACATCTATGAGATAAAGAGCAGTACTGTTAAAATATATTCAAAATAAAATTCTGAGTTATTTTTTAACAAATTTTACTATCCTGATGAACGGAAAAATTTTCTAGGAAGATGTCCATTAACAGAATTATTCAAGAAAAGGACAAAAACTTGAATAAAATAACCTTAGAAGACATTAAAAAATAGGAAATGCTTTCTCTACCAACAATGACCCAGGTTCATCTGGCATTTTCAAACCTTAAAGGAACAGATACAGCTTCTGTTATTTAAACAGCTATAAATAAATAAAAAAATTTTTCAAAAGGGGCGCCTGTGTGGCTTAGTCAGTTGAGTTTTCAACTCTTGATATCAGCGCAGGTCATGATCCCAGGTTTGTGGGATCAAGCCCCGTGTGGGGCTCTGTGCTGAGCATGAAGCCCGCTTAAGACTGTCTCTCTCTCCCCCCTCAGGCTCTCTCCTCTCTCCCTAATTTATAAATTTAAAATAATTTATAAATAAGCAGATATAAAAATATTATAACTCTTATTTATTAAATAAAATAGTGCTAGCTTCTTTCTAAGAATTAAAAATGTAGAATGGCTCAAATATCATGAAAATTTATTTCTAGCTCACTTTTGCAGCTCCAGTTCCAACAAGAATTGGAAAAAAGTAAAGTTTTGTGGAAGAAACAAAAATGTAATTAATTTAAAATGCCCTACTTAGAAAACCCAAGACAAATGAAAAACAACTAGAATAAGAGAGTTCAATAAAGTGGCATCACACAAAATAACCATTCCAAAATTAATACCTTGGGGCATTTGCTGTCTCAGTCGTTGAAGCATGTGACTCATGATCTTGGGATTGTGAGTTCAAGCTCCAAGTTGGGTGTAGAGGTACTTTAAAAAGAAAATCTTTAAAAAAATAACTACTATCTTTATAACCAATTAGAAAATGTAATGGTTAAAAAAATGCCATTTCTAATAGCAACAAAAGCTAGAGCATACCTCTTCAGATGTAATAAGAAATATTCAAGACACATATGAAGCAAGACATAATTTTCTCTTTCCAAAATATCAACAAAGACCTAAATGAATGGAGAGGTAAACTACATTCAGCTCTCCCAAACCACTCTCTAAATCCAATGCAATTCCAATTTTAAAAAGTCCCAATTCAATTTTCACTACCACGGCAAAAATGATTCCAAAGATCATCTAGAAGATCAAAACCAAGAAGTTAAAAAAGTATGTATTAAGGACTTAGCCTACCAGATAACAATGAACCTAGAAATATCTAGAAATATACAGCTAGAATAATTAAAATAATAATGTATTGGCTGAAAGAAATCGATCAATGGAACAGAGTGGTGGGTCTAGACACAGATCTGTGTATCTAGATAGATATTCAGTATAAGGATAAAGTTTGTATTTCAAATTAGTGGCAAGGGCGGCTAGGTGGCTCAGTCGGTTAACCATCTCACTCTGATTTCGGCTCAGGTCATGATCTCGTGGTTCGTGAGTTCAAGCCCCGCATCGACAGCTGACATCTGACAGCTCAGAGTCTGGAGCCTGCTTCGGATTCTGTGTCTCCCTCTCTCTCTGCCCTTCCTCTGCTCACACTCTGTCTCTCTATCTATCTCTCAAAAATAAATAAACATCAAAAAAAATTTTTTTTTAAATTAGCAAAATTGGACGGTTATCAAATAAATGACGGTGGAAAATGGGCAAGTGGTTATCCATTTGGGGCCCTAACTCATGCATAGACAAGAATAGATTTTGAGTGAATTAAATGTATAAATTGGAAAGATCTTCCTGAAAAACACAGTAACACAAAAACTCCGTAATAAAAAGGACTGAAAAATTTGATAATACAAATGTCAAAATTCAGTAGAACAAATGGCTTGTGAAGTTAATAGCCTTCACAATTCCACTTTATCGAAAGCACAAAAACAGGCAAAAGAGTTACCCTGACTGGAGGTGCGTGGGGAAGAAAAGAAGTAACAGGAAAGGAACCTGGGGGTGGGAGAGCATCAGGGTCCTAGTAATGTATTTCCTTAATGTTGTGTTTCTTGATCTGGACGCTGACACATGAAGATGGTTCAGACTGTAAAATTTCAGAGGATATACACTTATGAGTACTTTTCCTGTGGCAAATTTAGGGAGTACCATAAGGAAATAATGAAGAGAGGAGGGATGGGAGAGATCGACATGAAATTTTTCCTTGTGATGTTACATTAATCTATGTTTTATCTGCTTATGAAGAAGCATATACTAGTTGCGTAATTTTTTTTTTATTTTTAAAAAAAAAAATTTTTTTTCAACGTTTATTTATTTTGGGGACAGAGAGAGACAGAGCATGAACGGGGGAGGGGCAGAGAGAGAGGGAGACACAGAATCGGAAACAGGCTCCAGGCTCCGAGCCATCAGCCCAGAGCCCGACGCGGGGCTCGAACTCACGGACCGCGAGATCGTGACCTGGCTGAAGTCGGACGCTTAACCGACTGCGCCACCCAGGCGCCCCTAGTTGCGTAATTTTTTTAAAGTGAAAAATGATAAAGGCTACATATAAGACATACAACATTCAAGACTTATGATCCAAGTATAATCAAGACAATTCTATAGGGCACACTCTACCTGTGAATCTAGTATGTTGGAAATTTCGCATTCACCAACATTTACTTCATCCAACTGCAAGGAAAACAAGTTTCTGGCAACCTGGACAAAATCTGAAATGGAACACATTTTAGTAGGAACACAACATTTAACCTCATCTAAATACATCTTTACCTTTTTCTAAATGAAGTTGAAGCTATGCATTAAAACTAACGTTTCAAATTTAATTTACTTCAATGAATTACCTTAAAGTGGTATTAACTGAAGTGACAAATATAAGCTCAAATAAACAGTAAGTAAGAGATAAACCAATTTTAACTTACTTGAGTTAAATTTGCTGAGGTAAATAAATCAGTTAAGTAACAATAAAGCACATACATATCGTAGGTACATCTATTTTCTCCAACTCTTACTACGAGCAAGAACTTTCTCTGAAATATACGACAATATTGTGACTTGTAGCTTTTTTAGCTGGAACCGGAGGTTTAACAAAAATAATAATAGCAGCAGCTAATGTTTACGGAACAGCCTTCTTGTGCTAGGCACAGTGCTTTGCTATTTCATCCTCCCATTGAGGATGGGTAGGTCCTCTTATCCTCTTTGTTCTACACACTGCGGCTAAGAGAAGTTAACTGCCAAACTTCCCAAGGCTGCTTGGCAAGTAAGTAGCAGAGCAGGACTCAAATGAAGGTCTAACTCCAAGCCTGATGCTGGCTAGCAAACTGTAAGCTTCTTCAGACATGAGTGTGACCCATCCATCCTCAGATTTTTGAATTTTAGCTATTATATTTTTGATTTCCAAGGATCCTTTTCGTATTCTCTGATTGTTCCTAGTCTATAATATCTTACTCTTTATATCACGGATGCCTTATCTTTGTTTACCTTTTCAGAGATGTTCATTATGGTTTGTCTGAAGTTCTCTCCCACTCTTGCATTATTCCTCATTTTTCAGGGTTCCTGTTTTTCTCTTTGTCAGACAGTTTGGGGCTTTTATATTTTGTCAGAGAATTTCTGCAAGTGTCTGGTGACCCTTGGCTATGAGTGCATATTTAACAAGAATCACCACCAAAACACACATTGGAAATCCTGTGTGCATAACTTGCCTTGTCAACTGGCTGGTTTCACTACAGAGCAATCAGGTGGCCAACTGACACCTTGGGGTCTTGCCTATAAACATGGATGCAAAATTCACCAAGCAATCTGGGTGTGTGTTGTGAGTGATAACTCAACATACACTCCTCCAAATTCCCTGACCGCTGGCAGCTATAGGTTCAGAATCTCTCTGGTTTAATTTCCCAAGAGGATATACTTCTTTTCCTCAGCAGGTATAAGGCAGTGCTAAATCCTGGGTTGCTTGAGAGGAGGCAGGTAATAGCATAAATACTCCTTGCACAGATTTCTAACAATCCTATTTGAAATGCCCTGCCTATACCTACCCTTCAGAAATACCTGATACTTTTAATTCCTAATTCTTTTCAGTGATAAATCAGCTTGTTCTCCATTGTGGTTCCCCCATCTCTTCAGACACATGGGCTTTGTTGCCTCTATTTACTAATTCATTTAGTTTCTTCATCCATGTTCTGTCCTTATATATTGTGGTTTTAGTTATACATGCAATTTCTTTTTTGTTCTCTTCATTATTTGGGGGTGATTTTCAAAAGGAGAGGAAAGGAAACATATTTTTTTTTAACACTTTGAAACCAAAAAGCGAATTCTTTTTTAGTAATACAGATGCTTTAAAAATGATACAATATTTCATCTACTGTATAAGAAAAAAATTAAATACTGAATGCTGTCAAGGATACAAAAAACTGTTGGAATTCAACAAATTCATATGTAAAATATCTCTTGAAAACAACTTATCAATACCTATCAGAAGTATAAACCACATGTGGGAATTTATCTAAGCAGGAAAAAAACTATGATGTTAAATATAGAATTACCTATAATACCAGCTACTGAGAGACTATTAAAATCCCAGAAGTGGAAAGGCTTAATATTATAGTACATCAACTAAGTATGTCAATATCATGCTAATTTTATAAGAATAATTATACAGTACCATAAAAATATTTATTTTGTCTTATTAGCTGGAAAAAAGAATGGAAATTCATAGTAGTGGAGTTAGTTAGGACTTGTATAATTCACATTATTTCTTTTGTTATTACTAAAGCAATGTTTACACAATTAAGTAAAAAATAAAAAAGGTATGATAGGATGATGATATTTTAGAGCTGGAAGATTCTAGGAAAGTCTCCTTTCTGCTGACCCAGCCAGGCCAGTATTTGTAGCTGACATTTTAGGATCGTGATTGAGGAACTTGAAATAGATATGGTCTTATTTTTCTCTCTTTCCTTACAAAGATGCATTCCTAATAAAAAGAGGTCACTATAACTCTCCCACCGAGTTTCTGTGATGACACAACATGATAAACCTAATATTACCTCCAAAAGACACTGTCCCCTTTGGGTCTACTTGCACTTGCTGTCTCAGGGCTTGGTGTTGTTCCTTTGTGGGCTGAATACCAAGATAATCTAGAGCCTGGAAGGAAAAGGACTCAAGTGAAGCAATTTTTCAAATCTTTAAAGGATAAAACTTTTCATTACAACTTTATTTTACAACCCAGTGAAAAAAATCAGTATCAGGAACAGTGACAAGAATTACATGCCCAGAGAGGGTCTATTGACTATTTATGAATTAATTTTCTATAAAATATTAGCCTGATTCCACCACCACCTCAGTTGTTTTGTGGGGCTTTTTTTCTGCAAGACTAGCACTTTGGCTGATGCCAAATTTATAAGCATAGCCCTAGAACCAAAACTCAATTTCTTAGTTTAAAATATGTGGTATGGTACAGAAGAAAAATAGCAAGGAAATTCTACTAAATCAGATTAAACATTAATTTCTAAAAGTGGCACTATAAAAATGGATATATATTTTTTAACATACTTGAGACCAAAACTAAAGTTGATAAATATTCTAATTTTGGGTTATTTATCGATAGGCTTACATAAATAGTAAAGTAGAAAGTTTTCTCTGGAACCTACCTCTCTCTGCCATTTTTTTTTCTTTTTTTCCTTTTCTTTTCTCTACCTCAATTTAGTACCCATAGCAGATCAAGTATTCAGAGACTGCTTGTTGTATTCCAATACTCATTCTCTTCTTCTTCTTTAGCAACATAACCACAAGTTTTAGCTAGCAACACTTCCATCCTGCTAAAAGATATTTCCCAGCCCACTTGAGGGCTTGATGAAGCCATGGGACTATGCACTGGTGAAGGACATACAAGGTGAAGTATTGTGGAATACTTCGAGGAAGGCTTTCAAAAGTAGGTGTAGGCTATTCTTGGCTCTTTCTCTCCCCTCTTTGGGCTTAATTAAAAGAGAAAAAAGATGAAAGGAAGGAAAGAAGGCAAGGAGGGTGGGAGCATGCTGGAACTCAAGTAGTCATCTTGGTTCATAAGCCACTTTGGTGGAGCAGAAAGATAGTTGTAACATGGGTCTCTGACCTATAGAACTTCCATCCCAGCCCTGGACCACCTTCTTTAAAGCTTCTTTTTGGTGTGAAAGAAATACATTTCTAGTAGAAACCACTGTTATTTCAGGTTCTCCAGTTATATATAGCAAAACCTAATCTTAACTAATATAGAGGCTGATTAGATGCCCTTACTGGATTTGGGCAAGAATATATTTTGTGTCAATCATATTAAAACAAAAAAGTAGGCAAAGTTTAATATTGGTAATTATTCCTTATAAATTTCTTCCTCCTTCAAAATCTGCTCAGTCATTCATCAGTTCATTTACCAAATATCTATTCAATGCTTACTATAATTGTCAGGCACTACACTATGCAAAGGGGCACACAAAGAAGACACAGCTGCTACTTTAAAAGAGTGATGGTTTCTAGGGTGAGAATAACATGTGAATAAATGTAATTAGTGCAATATGAAATTTAATAGAAGTGTGTATAGGATATACTGTGGCAAAAACAAACTGGTTAATGTATAAGTGGTTGGGCACAGTGAGAGGAGACAGGAGGAAGGAAGAATATTAGGAAAAATTCATTAAAAAGTTATTTTAGAGTTTAGCTAAGTATCATCTGCCTCCTCTGTCTACACAGTCATAAATATTTGCCTTACGCAACATGGAATACTGGTTCTTACCATTTCTTAAAAATTTTTTATGTTTATTCATTTTTGAGAGACTGAGTGCAAATGGGGGAAGAGCAGAGAGAGAGGGAGACACAGAATTCGAAGCAGGCTCCAGGCTCTGAGCTGTCAGCACAGAGCCCAACATGACGCTCGAACCCAGGAACCCTGAGATCATGACCTGAGCCAAAGTTGGACACTCAACCGACTGAGCCACCCAGGCACCCCTGGTCTTAACTTTTGATGTTCTTTTCCTTCAATTATAAAAATGCTACACACACACACACACACACACACACACACACACACACCACAAAGAGAGTAATACAAAGAATATCCATGTACTCAAATACTCATTGATATTTGCTTGATATTTATATATATATATTAAGAAATAAACACTATAGACTTGGTTGAAAGCTTTCTCCATTGTTCCTTAGCAGGAACCACTATCCTAAAGTTGGTGTATCCTTCCTTTCCATGATTTGATACCATTACTACATGTATTCCCTAATGTTATGTATTCTTGTGCACTTTAAATTTTACATCAATAGTATAATACAAATGGATACACTTACAAATTATTTTTATTTTTACTTTAATGCTATGATTTCATAATTGCTCAATATTGTTATCTGTGAAACTAGTTCACTTAACTTTAAATGGTATCCCACTGTATGAATATAAATTATATACTCTCTGATTGATGGGCTTTTATCATTACTCCTACTTATTTTTTATTACAAAACATTATACATATCTTCTTGTGTGGATGTGTGAAAATTTCTCTGCAGTATATCCCTAGAAGAGGAAATGCTGAGTCACATATGTATTGTATCTATATATTGTATCTATCTATCTATCTATCTATCTATCTATCTATCTGTCAACTTTACTAGATACTGTAAAATTACTCTCACACTGGTTGTAACAATTTACACACATCACTAGTATATAAGCCCTTTTATTTTTCTATATTTTAAGAGCACTTGCTGTTTTCACACTTTAAATTTTGTTAATATGTTGAATATGAAATAGTATGTTGTTTGTTAAATTCCCTTCGTTATAAGTGAGATTAAACTTCTTTTACATGTTTATCAGCAATGTTTTTAACTCAGAAATTACTTAGCAATATGTTTTAAGTTGTCATACATGGTTTTAAGAAATATTTTTGCTAGTGATTCCTAAATTTGGTGACATTCTCCCAAATGTGAAAACAAAAAAAGTCTTCAGATCTTGCGAAATGTCCCGAGGCAAAAAAAACAAAAACAAAAACAAAAAACTGTACCCTTTATCCTTGAAAACTACTGCTCCAGAGACAAACACTGTTAATGGTTTGATGTATAATTTTCTAAATTTTTAAATGAATATACATACACCTACATATTAAATATACATAAATTATGTGTTTATTTACAGCAATTATTACATACAGTGTTGTATATTACTTAAAAAGTATTAACATATTATAGGTTTCTATTCTGTACATTTTACATCTCTTGCATGCTTTTCAAAACTGCTGTGATAGTGCATTAGCACTTAAGTATACATATATTTCAAATTTTGAATATAGCAAAACATTGTATAACTTTTAACTTTTGAATTTCTTTTAACCTTTTGAATTTCTCCCTACAGGTAGTACCTGTCACACTTTTGGTTTAATATTCAAGTATTTTACTATATAACATTTGATATATATTAAAAACAAATATATAACAGATATACATGTCTTAAGGCAGGAAAATAACTTAAAAATTCCATGAATCCATCTAAGAAGTACAAAACTGCCAGTACTGCTGAATTCAGGTCATATATTCCTACTCCTTTAGAGTAGGAATGGTTTCGTCATTCCTCCATATTGCTATGTAGTCTTGTAACATCCGCATATTCATCTTCACTGATAAATATCTGATTAGAGGAACATTCCACAATTTATTCATCCCTCACTCCTGTACATTGGGGTTTTCTGCTTACTAGCAACGCAACAATGAACATTCTTGTACACATCTAAAACTTTCTGTAGGGCTTTACTCCTTACTTAGGAGTAGTTTGGGTGGGTCTTTTTTCTTTTCTCTTTTTTTTTTTTTGAATGATGGTAGGACTTCTGAAAATATTTTCAGGGCGCCTGGGTGGTTCAGGTTCAGTTGGTTAAGTGTCTGAGTTCGGTTCAGGTCATGATCTCACAGTTCGTGTGTTCCAGCCCCATGTCGGGCTCAGTGCTGACCGCTAAGAGCCTGGAGCCTACTACGGATTCTATATTTCCTCTCTCTGCCCCTCCCCTGCTTATGCTGGTCTCTCTCGCTGTTTCTCAAAAATAAATAAACATTAAAACAAATTTTTTAATAAAAATATTTTAGATAGCAGTATTTTTTAATGAGTATTACAAATATTTTCTCCCAGTTTTTGGCATAACCTTTTACTTTTTTATATTCTCTTTATGGAGTCTCTTATGGGCAATTGCCAGGTATGTTTGTATACCATTATTTCATATTTTTTAAATATATATTTATAAAATATTTTAAGTTTTGAGTTTTGTATAAATAGTATCATACTATACAAACCAATATGTAACTTTTTGGTTTAATAACAAGATTTCTTGAGATGTAATTCACCTATCATAAGGTTCATGATTTTAGGGTATGGTTGCATAGTTTTTAGTACATTGACAAGTTGGGCATCAATCACCACAAACTGTAGAAAATTTTCATTGCCTTAAAAGGAAACTATACCCACCAGCAGTCACTTGCTATTTCCCTGTCCCCCTAGCTCCAGGCAACCACTAATTTATATTCTGTCTCTATGGATTTGCCAATTCTGAGCATTTCATATTAATAGAATCATATCATTGTGGCTTTTTGTCTGCTTCTTTCACTAGCTTAATGTTTCAAGGTCTCTCTATGTTGGAGCATGCATTAGAACTTCATTCCTTGGGGCACCTGGGTGGCTCAGTTGGTTAAATGTCCGACTTCGCTTCAGGCCAGTGATCTCGCAGTTTGTGAGTTTGAGCCCCACGTCAGGCTCTGTGCTGACAGCTAGGAGCCTGGAGCCTGCTTCGGATTCTGTGTCTCCCTCTCTCAATCAGCCCCTCCCATGCTCATGCTCTGTCTCTCTCTGTCTCTTGATAATAGATAAACGTTAAAAAAAAAAAATTAAGAACTTTATTCCTTTTATAGCTCAATAATAACTGTCCATTATATGTATGTACTATATTTTATCTTTTTTAAGTTAAAAAAAGGTAAATCAAGAGTAAAAGAAACAAGATATTAGTATAAAAATAGCAGGTAGATAATAACAAATTAAAAACTCAACAGGAAATATAAGATGGCTGCAAAGATACAGTGAACTAAAGAAACAATGTCTTTAACGGGTGGCTCAGTCGGTTTAATGTCCGACT